ACAAATGTGAAGACAGTTCTCTATTATATGGAGCGGAAACCTGGAGAACTACCAAAGCCATCATCCAGAAGATACAAGTATTCATTAACAGTTGTCTACAAAAAATACTTCGTATTCGTTGTCCAGACACCATCAGCAACAACGAATTGTGGGAGAGAACAGACCAGATTTCAGTGGAAGAGGAAATCAGTAAGAAGTGGTGGAAGTGGATAGGACACACACTACGAAAAGCACCTAACTGCGTCACGAGACAAGCCGTCACATGGAACCCTGAAGGCAAAAGGACAAGAGGAAGGCCAGGGAACACATTACGCTGAGAAATAGAGAAAGAAATGAGAGGAATGAACAAACATTGGACAGAACTGGAGAAGGAAGCCCAGGACAGAGTTGGTTGGAGAAAACTGGTGGGCGGCCTGTGCTCCATTGAGAATGACAGGCGTAAGTAAGTAAGTAAGTAAGTAAGTAAGTAAGTAAGTAAGTAAGTAAGTAAGTAAGTAAGTAAGTAAGTAAGTAAGTAAGTAAGTACTAAGTCAAGAGTAATACGAATATTCCCTAAGCCGTTAGGTGACACTTGGTTGGCGTAGTACTCTGAACATGTGGCTGCCTGGTTTAGCTGCTCACTGATGTTTGTGTTGAAAATCTAAGACATCTTAGGTTGGTGAGGTCTTCCCAATCGAACCTTTGAGAGAACACAAACCCTGGTTCTTAGTTTTTCTTTTAGTCATGAACCTAGATAGATTCTGCCTGTATTTTGGCAACTGGATTCATCTGAAAGCGTGTCCTGTCACTTTGAACGTGGGTATTGCATCTGTGTCTCAATGCCAAGTAAGAAATACGATCAGAATCATTCAAGGAGACCTTCTACTTGTGCCAGGCTCTCCTCTTCGTCTGTAGCGAGCGTTATTAGCCGCGCCTAACCTATATTCTTCTCTTTCCGGGTGTGTGGTGTGACTGAGGTAGATTGTGGGCTACAAAACTTTATTCCAACTGTTACCATTGAAATTTACAACATAATACGTAAATACTATATATATAGATAAGAATTAACAAATCAAGCTACAGAAATTAGTTGCTGGTTTACTCGATCATTGTTTCGCAAAATGAACTCTCACATTCCATGTGGGAGAGCGAAGGTATAATAACTGTATCACCTTGATCAGGATGTCGGAATCTTATGTTTTCGTCCCCTCAAAACAAAACAAGATAACCGGAAGTCCTCATTACCCTCACTGTTAGTATTTTCGGCATCATTCGCTCTACTCGCGCGGCCGATATGATGAGGAAGATGAGCTCTATTTCGAACTCAGATCCGGATCTGCAGTTCTTGTAGAGAAATGAACGCTAAACCTCTCGACTATCAAGCAGAAGTAAGTGGACATCGTTTAATAAGATTGAATATTAGTTATGCCAAAATCAGTTTCATAGAATTCAACCGTGGTTCGTTTTTCTTTCCTTGTTGATCAAACCATAAGGCTTCCATACTGGTATTTTCAATTGGAAAGAGAAATCAGGGTATCGGTTTTTGAGTGATCCCCATGTTCGATTCATCACTTCATCCTCAAGCACCGAAGCGACGTGGAAGACAAACGGTCCACCTAATGACTACTGATGCATACTACAGAATCCAAAGATACCAAATCAACATGGATGAACAAAAAAGGAAACTAGAGAAAATTCTTACATCAAAACATTTAACAACCCTGACGACAGCGATCAAGATGTCAAGCAGACAACACAGAAAACAAAGAAGTAACATTTAAGAGGAAAAGTTATCAAGATTTCAAAACCATTCACAAAAGTAAAGTCACACAACTTTGTGTAATCGAGACAACGCCCATGAACACCTTCTCTGAAAAGGATTCACCTATAACTCAAATTCGGCGTCGATCTAGAATCATTGATCAGAACGGGACTAATAAACATATAAACTCAGCAAGATTAGTGGAGAATGAAATTCAGGGGACCGACAGTCCTACGATTCTACTTTAGGCCAAAACTACACATACCCAACTTTGCACTAGGTCAAATTTTATCTCTCCTTGGAACCTCAACAAACGGCTTGTCAAGAGAAATTTCAAGGATATTGGAACATCAGGGGGACCCATCCAATAATTTCATTAAGCCTCCCGAACGAATCTCCCAAAGTATACGAAACGTCAAAATCAAAGTCTACTAGAACTTGTCGATTTGTGCTTAACAGCAATATGCAATTCAACATCACAAATTAAGGAGAAACTAAAGGAACGCCAATCGGATCGTCAATATCAAGACTTATTGCAGAAGCAGTAATTCAGAGACTAGAATGTTTTAAATTACCGATGACTAAGCCGAAATTGTAAGTTCACTATATAGACGACTCATTTACCACCATCGAGTGGAATACATTGGAGAGCACCTAAAATAGAATCGACAAGATTTCTGGTGACGAAATTCACAATTCCCTGCTTACGTCGCCTGAGAAACAGTGTTTCATTTGTCAACGGATCTTGTTAAATTCACCTAGATCAGATGATGCATAATCTTGCTCCACTTTAGTGCTTTTAATAATACTTCGATAAAGCTTTTGGTGACCACCTTGCCCATGTCTTTGAAAGCGATATATGTGTGTAGCTGAGCAGAACATCAGACAAAATAAGAGCTGTTAGGATAAATGCATCTCACTACGGATTCTGGGCTCCCCAATCTTTATTTTAACAGGCGATATATTTTCCTAATTTTGAAGGACGAGTTATAACTCCTCCATCACTGGGAATTCTCGATAACCGTAAAAGTGACATGCCCCATTATGTGGTCTTGATAGTTCATCATGGCATAAGCTGTTAACTTTCTTACCTAAACATCTAGTGTAAATATAGCAGCATATTTTGCCAAATGTTGCTTCATAGAGTTTAGATGAACTGGAAATCAAAATAATCAGTAGACTAAAAAGAAATAACCCCCACTCTTTGTTCGAATTCAGGTATGTGGTCTCATCCTCTGATCTCAATTCCTACTTACACCCGTCATCTCAAATATTTTTTGAGAGAACATTGTCATGTGATTTGCTTTGGGTGAGTTGCACGAATGAGTCCGAAAGATTCAGCTTTGGTAAGCTGCGTCGTACTGGAGGAGAGATCAGGCAAGTCTACTACTAATAACATTAGATTACTCATACGAACGCGTTTTTAATCCCCCAGCGACTCATGTCGTAAACATACAATCATTTCTCCCACATTCTTATTAATTTACCCAAAATCTGAAGCAATCGTTCACGTAAGCAGAGAAGCAGTAAAACGAAGGGAGACCGAGAATGTAAGTCAATTTTTCATAACCTGTCTGAAGATTAATATAAATTATGTGGTTAAAGAAATTTTAAATTGGGCTTCTTCGGAATAAGTGTAGATATTTAATTTTAGAAATACAAAATACTATAAAGGGAATTATGAAATGTGTGGACCAATCTTCACGAGTCCTAGGGACAAACACAAGACATCAACTATTGGCTAGGTTGACACAGTAGTAGTATTGTTACCTAACTCTTCTACCGTTGAGGCTGAACATGCGATGACTCAGAAGACTTACGTTCAACGATTAACACTCGGATGAGGTCAATAATAATAAGAGCAGGAATATTCGATCAAGATGGCAAGGCTCAGTCACGCAAGCGGGGTCACTCTACGTTACTTCTTGCTTCTTTTATGAAATATGTTCTTCGTTTCGTTGCTTAATGTATCCATAATGAAGTCCTAAGAAGAAAATTGCCGACTTTCACCACTGAAAGAGTCAGTATGGATAATGATGTGACTTCCACGTAGATTAGGTTGTTATATCATGGCACATCGTAGATTATGGAATAAGTCTAGTAGCTCTGAAGCATAGATAAGTTCGCTAATACTCACCTGGACCATGAATCATGCATACGAGTACAGTTGCACAGATTATGGGCTTGTGATTATTACCAACTTTACAGGAACAGCCATTTCTCAGCAAACTGAGTGATAAGGTATGTCCCCTGGCAGAAAACCCCCTCTAGATTTGAACCTCCGAAGTGACAGCTTTTAATTGCGTCAGGATAGTCGTCAAACGATTTTTTCTCGGACTAAGTTGTTTGGAGCCTTTAATGTTCCGATATTTTGCTACCGTGGTGAAAACTTTTGTGATTTTATAAAGTCCAGTGTGGCAGAAAGAGAATTTACTAAACTTTCTAGGAGCCTAAGCAGCCGTTATTAATATAAGGCTTTGATCTTGTAGCGGAATACTTATCAAATAACTCATAGTTTCGAATCGAGTTAAGCGTTCGGACTTCCTACAGGAAATATTATGGTGTCATGGCCGGCCTTCGAAAGTGTCAATACTAGATAAAGGCAATAAAAAGTCGAGAACATTTGAAGAAATTTTGTCAAGTCTATCAGTCGAAATACCTCTTTTTTAATGAACGAACCCCAGTGATCTTCTTCCAGTACATATTTATGATTACTAGAGATCAACTAATGTCAGCATTTATTCGTTAAAGAGCAATTGCTTATCAGTGATATCAGGAATTACTTATCCTATAACGAAATGCACGGTAGAGAAACCCAGGACGTCAAGTAAGACTAGGTGGAAGGTCGGTCTCGTCAGACAAAATCTATAGTAATCTACAATAAACTTTTGTGAAGCATCACGGAGAAACAACATCGCTCCAACAAAGCTTCTTGGAATGGAGCCTCTAAATAATTCAGTTCTGTAATAACGAGATCTCTGGACTACCAGATAATTTACTTTGCACCAAGATAGCCTCAGGATTGTGAAGGATGAAGAGACAGAAATTCAAGCGATACTGAAGCGTTTAACAAGAATCCGAAAAGGATGCAAATACCTACATTGATCTATTATAATTACCTTCAACTGTTTACTTCTTTTATTCTCCAAGGTTTATAAAAAATGGAAACATGGAGCTAAGAAATATCCCTTACAACTAGAAGGCTGATCCTAAAGAACAAAGAGTTATCTATTTCTTGCAAACTTAGTTTAATGTTTCTCTAGGTCACGACATGTCCTACAACGCGGAGTTTCGAACGGGTGCCATTTCGTTTGTCGCAATGCAGGTTCGAACGTTGTTTGTTCTGGTTCAGCTATGGATGTACGTTTCTGGTCATGGTCATGATCATGCTCATAGTCAGGAACCACCGCACTATAAGTATTCTAAGGAAGCTAACGTTGCGTAAGTTTGCCTATACTCTGCTTATGTTTTAGTGAGTTTTATTTAATTCTTTAACTTTTTCGTATGCAATTAATCCACTTGTGGACTAACAGTCTGAAGATTCTACTTCATTTTTATTGTAACTGGTTATTGGCATAGCAAAAGCTCCCACATCTTGTTTCAATGCTTCAGCCACCAAGCAAAACCAAATTTTGCATGAAAATGCATCGCCAAGTCGGTCTCTGTCACCATACTGTACTTTTTAATCGACGGTGATCATTTCCAAACATTTTCATTTTGATTTGATTGAATTTTCCAAATATTTGATGACAATCAGTTGGAAAGTCTCGTTAACTACTTCGAATTCCCCCACTGAGCTTCTCAACGACTCAGTTGTGGCAAATTGGGTTCTCAAGTCGTATTAACAGTTGGTATAAGGGCTGACTTGGTGACCATAAATTTTACTACGTACACCATAAGATAGGTATCCGTGTTGATTTTTTAATCGTATAGTTGTACTTCGTGTAAAATATGCATCTACCGGTAGTCACTTAACAGCAATGTGCTGTTAGCTAACTTTTAGTTCTGTGCTTTATGTATCTGTTTACATCACTCGAACGAATTGCTGAGATTGATCATGAACCAACGAATATACGCACACTTAAATAAACCAAGATCTAATGTTTTGTTGTAACATAAACTAATGAAATCTACGCATCGGTAGACTTGGCTAGTTACTTGATTTGATGATACTCATGTAATAAAGATCTGACTCCGATACAAAAGCTTTTATTGTCAAGTTCGTTGAACTAGTTGGCTTAGTTGTTGTTCTAAACAGCATCATATGCTTCTAAATGTCAAAATGAGCTTTGTGGTTATTACACAAGCGATTTATCAGGTCGTCCTGACGATGATCAATTTTCTTCTCAAGTCAGGTTATCACCATTTGTCTGTATGTTCCTGCTGACAATCTTTTTCGTTGGATATCTAAATATTTGGTTGATTTATCTTTTTCGTATAGCTTGATCGGTCGAGTTTATATCGATATGTTTGTCGACCGTTAAGCGGTTTAATTGGGATGTATCTTAGGATATTCTGAAACTGAGAATATCTTTAATCTAGAATCACGATATGTTTGCAGTCGAATTCGTACATGGTTACCAACATGCATTTATATCATTGCGTTCCACAGGTAGTCTGTTCGTGTATGGGTAAGTGGAGCGAGTGTCTATTTTGTTCAGTGTACTTCTCAAAGTCGGTACAGTTTCGTAGGCTATGTTCTACTCGTCTTCTTTTTTTCGCTTTTACATCTTTTGGTCCTTATTCAACGGAATGAAGCGATAACGTTGGTTTGTAAAAAACGCTTATTGAGTTTTCAAAATCGTAGTAGTTTCTGATGTTTTGTCACATATGGCAAGACGATCCTTTTCCTAGTTTCTGAGGTAAATTTCTTTGTGTTGAATCAAATCGACAAGCATATTTTTGAAAAATTTGGGCAAGTAACCACTTTTTTTTGGGGGGGGGGGTTAAGTGAGTTTTCTCATTTTTAATATCCTAATTATAGTACTTCAAAAGGTTCTAGTTCATTTAAATAGCACTTGTACGCAACGCTTATTTTCCGCTGTTAGCTTCTTACTATTGTGATTTAGTATTTAACCTGTATGACGGCTTCCTGTAGTTATAGAATTCATTTATGTGGTTTTTATTTTTTATAGGCACAAGGAAATTCACGTACCTGAAAAACGTGAAGATTCTTCTGAACAACTATGGATCGAAGTATTCGGGGCTGTATTACTCATCAGTGTCGCCCCTTTTATTATATTGTGCCTGATACCAGATTTAAACAAGCACCGTGGCTTCCTCAAAATTCTTCTTGCATTTGCAGCTGGTGGTTTATTGGGAGATGCATTTCTCCACTTAATTCCTCATGCACTGGAGAGTGGACATTCCGATCATAATCATGCACACGGAGAGAACACAAACGAACATGATCATAAGCGCCACTCCTATGTTGGACTTTATGTTGTTGGTGGAATTTTTGCATTCTTGTGCGTCGAAAAGTGTATTCGACTTTTTAGAAATGACCATTGTGGAGGGCATTCGCATCATGCAGTGTCTAATGCTAATGGGGAAACTAAAGGAAAGAATAAGAAAAAGAGTGAAGATATCAAAAGTGAAAATAAAACAAAACGTGAGCTATGCACTTTTACATATCAAGTTATTATCAAAGTTATCTTATCTATTGTAATTATTTAAGTAAGTGCATTATTTTCAAGTCGAAAATGGAGTCATCATCTAATGCAAATAAATTTGTCAGTTGGAAATGGTATTAAGGGATGAAAAAAATGTAGCTCCTAATGGGGTCAGTGATAACCAGCACTAGCCGCTAATAAGACTGACATGCGAATTATGAAGTTTGACGTATCTCATGTTAACGTTAATCAACCGAGTTACTTCGAAAAAAGGCTTTTAGTGATAGTTGATAAAAAATCTCTTAAAGAGAGTGTATTATCTCAAGGAAACTTGCGTCATCTTCTTGTCAACTGTGACTGACGTAATCATCATTATAACACAATAACTGTTTTAAGTGTGAAAGTGAATGATGAACACATCATTGGATTTTGTTGTACTAAAACATTATCGTCGACTTGCATAGCACTACAATGTGTATAGAGTTTTCATTATCGCTTTTTTTTTCAGCCGTAGATTTCAAAGTTGCTGGATATCTTAATTTGGCGGCAGATTTTACGCACAATTTTACTGATGGACTAGCTATTGGTAAGTTTTACTTCTGGACGTTACTTTTGTTACACTGTAACTTCTATTCCATATAGACGAGTCTTCAAATGAAACCATTAAGTGCTTTGATGTCTTGAAATTTTCGTAATCTAATGAATGGAGACCATTTTTTACTAAAACAATTGACTGTGGCTGTCGACATGTTGTTGGTTGTAGAGTCTCTCTCATTTAAAACAATAAACAGTTCGATGAATCCACTATCAAAGATATGCAATCACGAATATATATATATACTTGTTTTCTCCATATGATAGTAATTACAATAATAGTGAAAATCATAATTTGCTAAACATGTTAATTATGATGCAAATGAGATGGAGGCATAAAATATTATTTCGATTCGGTGAATTAACTGTTTAGAACTTGAGTGTTCATCATGAAAACCGATAAAGAAATTATAGTCGAAAAGGGAAGGCTTAGCGTGATAAGATAACATATTTCTACTTACCTTACACATGATTTTCAATGCAGAATACGTTTCGATCGATCTAAAAGGTAAGTAGGAAGCTGTCAAAGTTGGCTGCCATCTTAAAACTGTCGAAGTACTAGTTGTACATCTAAGAAAACTTGAACTGTAAATAAAGGAAAAACTTTTACAACATCTTCCAACATGATCTTCTACTCTAGAGACCTTTTACCGTTAACTAATTTGTTTCTGTTTATAAGAAACTCTGATTACAGTTCGTCTCAATTCAAACATTTCATCTTATCATGCTGAGCCTTCTATTTCTGATTGTAATTTCTCTATCTATTTTCATGATGAATACTCAAGCTCTCAACAACACCATTATTATTAATTCACCGAATCAAAATAACCTTTTATGACTTCATCTAATTTGTACCGCCATTACCATTTTTAGCAAACTATTATTGTAATTACTATCATGTGGAGAAAATAAGTATATACCTATGGTTGCCCAGCTCTGATAGTGAATTCGCCAAAGAGAACTTTTCGCTGAACCAGTCTTTCTGGTTTTATGTCTCAGTGGGTATATTCCGTTTCCTCTTGCAAGATGCCCGTCAACCTATCATCGATTAGCCAATTTGCCGTACAATACGTATGTTAAACGTGTTATTTGAAACTATTATTGGATAATAAGCGTACGGTAGAATCACCATGTTAGTTATACAGAGGTTAGATATGAAGTGTTAGTATAAGGTTGGTAAATTGGTGAGGGTACGAATCTTCATTGACTGTTGGCCGGAGCATAAGTCACTCATCTTTATCTATCATTTACCCCATCGTACAATGCTAACTAGCAAAAGAGCATTTCGAAAAATAACCAATGGTGACCAAGGTAAAAAGTTAAATCATTTCAAACTTAATTGGAGTCATGGTCAATAGGTGCTTGTTTCCTGGTCGATTCCTGTGGGATAATCGTCTAAGAAATTGTAATTTGATGTTTTCCTTGCTAATCATTGTTACCATACTTCACCATAAAACTTAAACTTATGCATTTATAAAACTGTTTGTGCTATTTGTCACTACTCACATTTTAGGATTCTGTTAGATATTTTCCTACAGCTTAGTATTTTGCTTTTTTAGTTCAAATTTAAGTAATCATATTCAGTTAAAATATTTTATATACATTTTTAGGTGGATCGTTTCTTGTTAGTAGAAAAGTTGGTTTATTGACTACTTTCACTGTTCTGTTACATGAACTTCCACACGAGATTGGAGACTATGCTATACTTATACAGTCGGGATTTTCTTCACGTAAAGTAAGTTTTGGTACTTCATTGTTATGATGTAAAATTGTATACACTCACTTTCGTTATCAAGAAATAAACTAACCTTATACCGGCTCTCTACTCGAACACCACTGGTCGAGTGAGAGCTTATGCCGAACTGTCATCGGAATTCTTCACTTCAAGTGGTGTCCGTCAGGGCTGTCCACTCTCCTCATTCTTGTTTAACTTTGTCGTAGATATGCTTCTAGATATAACATCATCGTCTGACTCTCCAACAGTGGACCTATTACCAGGAGCGCCATTTATGGCGCAGGCGAGATATCCGTTTGCTAACCGAAGGACGAGTGTACTGCGCGGTAGTTCGCTCCGTCCTACTGTATGTACGGGAAACATGGCCGGTAAGAGTAGAGCACTTCGGTAGGTTGCTTGTCTTCGATCATCGGTGTCTGCGAAGCATTGCTTGAATATCCTGAGACAACCGAGTAAGCAATGCTGTTATTAAGAAACAAGTTCTAGGTAAGGATGGAAAATCAATAGATGAAGTGTTGAAACTCCATCGATTGAGGTAGTTGGGACATGTGTTACGAATGCCCAACCAGCGACTGCCGCGACGAGCTATGTTTTGTGGTGTAGGGATAGTTTGGAAGTAAGCTAGGGGCGGCCAGATCAAAATATGGCACAAATCCATGAAGTCACTGATAAGTGGACTGAGTCGTGTTGGTAAATGTAGGCTACGTGGTTGGGGTCCGCTAGACGAAAGTCACCAATGGTTAGATACCTTGAACGACATGGCTCAGAATCGTTTGCAATGGCGCAAGTGCATCCACTCGTTGTGTTCTCTCAAATTATAATCTTTTGAATTCCACATAACGTCTATCTTTCTCCTTCTAAATTTATCTCACTGAATTACACTTTTCGAATCATATCTTCGTACCCTAATCTTCTCCATTACTGCTAATACTTATACTATCGCTACCGCTATGTGATTTGAACTGACAGTTGCATCTCTGCGCTAATGCGGCATGGCAACCTGATCTGATGTACTTACGTACGCAGTTCTACGTTGTAACTGACTGACTTAGTGAGTCATAGTAGATCACAGGTCTAGTAGTTCGGCTTTCCATTCAATTTCTAGTTCAAACTCCACTCCACTTACTTTAGTTTAGGCAAACGGGCATCACCATTGTCCCTCACAATTAGAGTGCAATCCTATACCCCCAAGTCCTTGCGGAGTAAGTAGGAACGGAGACCATTTTGTTTGTTCATAATTAACTGTGAAACAAATTTTGTTAATTTTTTATTAAAATTATGCATATTTGTAGTAAAACAACATCCTCACTCTTTATTTTTCAATGAATTTTATTCATTTTATGCTTTTATTCAGGCTATGCTTCTTCAATTAGTCACAGCTATCGGTGCACTATTAGGTTCATCGGTTAGTTTACTTGCTGCTCGTATTAGTATTGGTCCTATTGTTTTTGATCCTAATATATTACCAATTGTAACAGATGATATTGTTATTGGTTGTATTCTACCATTTACTGCTGGTGGTTTTATTTACATTGCTATGACTTCTGTACTACCTGATCTATTGACAGCTAATAATACTGTGAATACAACAAAAGCACAAAACAATGGATTTAAATTATTCATTCAAAGTATCTTGGAAATAATTTCTCTCATTGGTGGTGTTGCAATGATGGCTGCTATTGGAACATTGGAATAAAAAGAAAAATATGTATACATATACAGAAGATGATAATGTCGGTCTATACGGAAAATGTAGTAGTGTTGTTACTGCAGTCCATCCTTTTTGTGTATGTGCATACTAGTACTTTCTTACTGCAATCTCTAGTCCTCCTCCTCCTCCTCCTGTTGTTATTGTTGTTATTGTTTTTTTCTTCAGCTGGTTTGTAAAATTTTGTAATATCTATTGTTATTATTAAGTGAAGCAATGAATATTTAGAGAAGCATTTTCAATGTACAAATGTTACAATCAGAAATGCAACTGTTGCAACGCTTTAATGCGTACAGCTTTTCCCTTTTCCACCTCCCCTCCAATTATATTTTCCGGTTATATTTGATCTTTGTTTAAATAATTTTTGATTTCATTTATTATTTGATAATAATTTTGTAAAATGTTTGATATACATAAATATAGTTTGCTTCTATCTTCACTTCACTTCATCTTATTATGTGGGTTTAAATGGTCTCAATTAATTTCTTCTAATTTTCATGTTGTGATCATTTTTTTAAATCGCGTGTTCACATTAATTATTATTCAAAACAAAGGACTCCTAGCCAAAAGAAAAAATCATATTTCTATCATCGATTTTTTTAAAAAAAAATTTGGTATGGAATATATCTGTATTTTGTATTTATTATTAATAATAATAATAATAATAATAATAATAATAATAATAATAATAATAATAATAATAATAATAATAGAAAGCAGTTTACAATGTAATCATTGTACATCGATCAGCTTTATATACTTTTTTTGTGTGTGTGTTGGTGTTTTTTATAACTAACTTTGGATGGTGTATATGAGAACTGTGAGGTTGATTTATTAGTAGTGCAATATATTTCGAGTAATCTGTTCATACTTATAATATAAACTTGTTAAGAACACTTATGTATGAAACTGAAAGGTTAACTAGACAAATGGAGTGTAAGGTGGTTGAGAAAGAAAACCAGTGTTGATAAATAATGTGATACCCATCACTCTGGAAAAATAACACAATATTACCCAAGGTAGGTTTAAGGTGAGAATAAATTGTTTTTTAAATGCGTAAAGCAAGTTTAAAATTGCATATGGCCAAGGCTTCAATAAAACTTAATATATGTGTCCTTGAACTCTTTTATACAGCACAACAAAATCTAAATTGAGATTTAGTCTTATGATATGTAGTTAACTACATGTTTAACAATAGAAAACGATGGATGCTTATGAACTCGTCATATTGGGTCATTTATTTTTGTAGTCAATTAGGTAGGTATTCACATGACTATCGTATTACTCTCTACTACTACTACTCTCTATTCAAGCACAAAATTTACACAATTAAACGAACTCATCTTATGTCAAAGTTCACCATCGGCATCAACTAGCTTAGATTTATTAATAAATGATAATAAAATATGATAAAATAGTTGGACTTTGTACTAGAGATCTTTCGAAAATATAAAAAAAAAAGGATATCTGTAATTGTTTCAAATGGTATTTCGGATATGATCAAAAGTGATATACTACAAAGTTTATAGGATAAACTCCTTTATAACGTTCATCTATATACGTAGGCAATACTGATATACGACATTTTGGAAAACAATTAATTTTAAGATTCACATGTTTATTTGAATCAAACTTGATTCATTGTCCCTTAACCGGCGGTAAGTGTGACCACTAAGGGCTTTTAAGAGCGGAGCTAATGCTCAAAAAACGTTTAATAAAAAAGCCGTGCGTGACCGACATCAAGCGGTTGTCCCTTGGACTCTGCGGCTACGCTCCCAGGTCGTTAAGACCAACACAAATCTACCTTCCTTTTCCAGGTTCCTCAAGAAACACATATAGAGCTTATAATGTTCAGAAATAGGGCAACAGGCTCCATTAGCTACGACTCTGGAATTCCGTGTGATCGATGTATGTTGCGTCTCGGAAACGCGCATACAAGATGCGAGCAAAATCATCAATTTGATCTCACCTAGTGCAGATAAAGACACAATAAGGTTTACGCTTCGTGTATCCGGTAGCCCTGATGCAGCTACCAGTGGTCTCGCTGGTGTAGGGCAGAACTAGCGCTCCTAGACTACATCCCAGTAGATGGTCACTTGTGCGCCGTCCGACTGAACGGGACAGTAAGGACTCGGAAACAGGGACACCCATCGTTGTCTCTTCGTCGTATCTGCCTATGCCCCCACTGACTGCAGTTCAGACGAGGTGAAAGATGAGTTTTACAGAAAGCTTTCGAACCTCCTTAAAAAGCTGGGCGCTCCGATGTTGCATTAATGGCTGGTGACTTTACTTAGGTAGGTAGACTAAGTGAAAATGAAAGGCACCTTGGTGGATGTTATGGTGTCGCGGCTGAGAGAACAGACAATGGCGACCGTCTGCTGCATCTATGCTCAGATAACGGCCTATTCCTAGCAAACACTAAGCGTAAATTAAAACACATTTTGACCTGGCGACCTCCAAAGCCGACCCAACGATGGACCAAACTAGGTTACATCGCTATAAGACTGCAGCTCACATTCTAGAGCACTTGTTTAGACTGAGACCATGCTCTGGTGCGAGTGCGTATTTGTTTGCGTCTTACTGGACGCAAGAAATATATCGCAAGGAAGCATGTTAGGGCTCTACTTAATGATAATAAAGCAAAGAATATATTTGAGGAAAAACTAGAAATATAGTTAGGCAGCCATGTAGTAGGTGATGCCCACCCTGAGGCAGCTTGGAATGATATAAAAAAGGCTAAGGAAACAGTAGTGATATCTTCTAGTAAGGTAAACCATAAGGTTAGGGAGAAACTGTGGATTTCAGTAGCATCTACCGAACTGATGGATGCGTGAAAGCTCATCCTATCTGACTTTGACTACTATGAGGAGCGGAGTCAGCTGTGGTGCAGGCTAACAAAAAACGTTCGCAATGGTCGCAAACGGTGGTGGGTAGTGTAAGAAAAGGAGATGGAAAAGGCAACGGTGATAGGCAACAGTAGGCAACTGTTCAGACTCATCAAGGAAACCGGTATTAGGAATCCGACTGTAAGTAAGACTTTTTTGAAAAAGGATGGGACAACTATTCATTCTCAACCCAGCACGTCCTGATAGATTGACCCCTGAGATTTTTAAGGATGGTGGTCCAGATTTAACAGTTAGACTGACTGATATCTTAGGTAGAATCTGGGAACTGGACGTAATCCCATCTGACTGGACTCAATCACTGATTGTCCTGTGACAGCCACATGGGAATAAGTCTAACTAATATAGTTTCTTAATTGCTGGCCTCAATTATACTTAGACGCCGAACCAGAGCTCGTGAAAAGCAGACTAGGGAAAACCTGGCTGGTTTTCGACCTGGACGCGGATGTATAGACCACATTTTCACATTACGATAGGTCCTGGAACACAGACACACGCGTCTGACAATAGTTGTGTTTGAATCATTGGTTCGTGAGGTTCTGTGTCAATGTCTGTCATTAAAAGATGAACCAAAGAAGTATATTAACCTTATAAAAGCTCTCCACTCGAACATCACTGGCCGAGTCAGAGCTTATGGCGAACTGTCACCGGAATTCTTCACTTCGAGTGGTGTCCTTCAGGACTGTCCACTCTCCCTATTCTTCTTTAACTTTGTCATAGACATGCTGCTAGATATAAAATTATCTTCGTCTGACTTTCCAGCAGTGGACCTATTACCAGGAGACACGCTTGCTGACTTAGAATATGCTGATTAAATAGTCCTACTTGGTGAAGAGGCTGACTAAATACAGAGTCTTCTGACTACCCTGCGCAACAATGCAAGCATGTTTGGGATGCGGTTTTCACCCTCGAAATGCAAAATATTGCTTCAGAAATTGGTTTCATCGGTATCTGAACTAGTGATAAGGAGTGAAGTAGTCGAATGTGTAGACCCATTCACTTATCTGGGGAGTCTCATCAGTGTTGATGGCCTGGTGACTGACGAAATCTCAGCACGGATACAGATGTCTCGACTGACTTTTGCCAATCTGCGTCACTTATGGCGCAGGTGAGATATCCGTTCGCTAAGCAGAGGACGAGTGTATTAGTTCACTCCGTCTTACTTTACGGATGCAAAACATGGCCGTTAAGAGTAGAGTACATTCGTAGGTTACTAGTCTTCGATCATAGGTATCTGCGAAGCATTGCTTGTATATCCTGGGACAACTGAGTAAGCAATGCGGTCGTTATGGAACGAGTTTTAGGTAGGGATGGAAAATCAATGGGTGAAGTAGTGAAACTCCATCATTTGAGGTGGTTGAGACATGTGTTACGAATGCCCAACCACCGACTGCCTCGACGAGCTATGTTTTTTGGTGTAGGAGTAGTTTGGAAGAAAGCTGGGGGGGGGCGGCCAGTTCAAAACATGGTAGGAATCCATGAATTCACTGATAAGTGGACTGAGTCATCTTGGTAGTTGTCGACTACCTTGTTGGGGTCCGCGAGATGATAATAATCGATGGTTAGAGACCCTCAATGAAATGGCTCAAAATCGTTTGCAATGGTGCAGGTGCATTAACTCTTTGTGTTCTATAAAATTCTAACCTTCTGAATTCCGCATCACGTCTATCTTGTTCTAAATTTATCTCACTGAATTATACTTCTTGAATAACATCTTTGAATCCTAATCTCTCAGATTCCTTTTAATACTTTTACTACCTCTACTACAATGAGATTTGAATTGACAATTACATCTCTGTGCTAATGTGGTATGGTAGCTTGAACTGGTGTACTTACGTACGAAGTTCTACGTTGTAACTAACTGAATTCCACATTGCGCATTACTTACCAAGGGTGGGAATGGTTGGAAAAAACGGAGAGTTGGTCAATGAATGACATAGTGTCGAGCTGTGAAATAAAGCTGTACAGAACTGGTGTCTGTCGGACTTTGGCAACTTCCTGGTTAGGGTCCTAGAGATGGTGCAACTCAGCGGCTTGAGATGTTTTCAGACATGGCTCGGAACGGAAGCCAATCGTGTTCCTGTTTTAACTTCTATTTTTTTTCATATCGGCAACAGAAACATCTTTAATTAAAGGGATTCTTTCTGATTGTAACTTCCCTAAGTGAACTATTTTTCCTTCTAATTTCACTCTCATACACTACATTCTGTCCATTTTTTCTGTTATTCTTACCGGTCTTCCTCTACATCTCTACAACTTCATTTTTATTGCTTGGCGCATACATGTTTTGGTGCATACCTGTATCAATATTTATGTTTTTTAAATCGATATAAAAGTTATCGGTATCGATTTACTCAATATGAAGTTAGTTCACTATATTTTCAGTACATCGTCATTGTACTGATAAATGCACTATGGTTTTATGTTCAAGTGATTGTGTCTCAGTTTGATAGATTTTGGCATGAATCATTATTGAATTTAATCGACATATAAAACTGAATTAATTCTTATGTAATTTCATTCTTCTGAAGTATTAGTTATCAATACATTTTTTTACAAAACTTCTTTTGATTTGATCAATCACAAGATGATTATTGAAGTGTTGTGTATGTATTAGTCATTCGATTGACCCTGTTTCATATCAGAAGAATTTGTCAGTTGTTCATTATTAGAAATTTCCAGAATCCAGTTATCATTTACACTTAATCATGTTTACAGGACAGATTGTGTATTTATGTTTACAATTAGAATAATGGGGATTAGTGTTTTTACACATTTGAAATCATTAATCAATCATTTTTAGACTACCGTTAGAAACCTGGAAGCTGTGGACAGCCGTTTCGTCCTGGTATGGGACTCATCAGAAGTAACTACCGAAGACAAATGAGTGAGGTCGCGCAAAAATCTCTAGATCAATCAGAGTTAGACATTAACACCGTTAGATGCCGGCCCAGTGATCCAATGGTTAGGCGTTCGCACATAACACCACAGGTCCCGGGTTCGAATCTTGCGACATGCAGGAGTCGTGGATGCGCACTGCTGATAAGTCCTATACCAGGACGAAACGGTTGTCCAGAGCTTCCAGGCTCCTAATGGTGGTCTAACAATGATCGATTGATGATTTCAAATGTGTAGTTGTGTCTATCTGCCCGATACAACAATGGATTACTACAAACGAACCCTGATTAACCACTGAATGTTATCACATACAAAGAGCAATATAATGGTAGATATTAAATCATGGTTTATTTATTATAGGTTAATAATATTTTTAGTTACAGTTTTGGAGATTTGTGTTTTTACACATTTGAACTCATCAATCAATGATTGTTAGACCATCATTAGAAACCTGGAAGGTCTGGACAGCCGTTTCGTCCTGGTATAGGACTCATCGGTGGCAGTGCGCATCCACGACTCCTGCATGTCGCAGGATTCGAACCCGGGACCTTCGGTATTGTGCGCGAACACCTAACCATCGGACCACTGGGCCGACGTCCAACGGTGTTAATGTCTAACTTTGATTGATCTAGGGATTTCGCGTGACCTCACCCATTTGTCTTTGGTAGTTACTGCCTACGACCGACAGCGTTGAACTCCATTGGTCACGTCTTCTCAACTAGAACTCCGAGAATTTCCTCATGAAGCTAGTCACTACTGAGCAGATGTTACGATATTTTCAGTTCGAGTTTTGGAGGTTTTGTGTTTTTACACATTTGAAATCATCAATAATATTTTAATGTGAATCATACTTTATATTTTAAAAACAATTTATCAATCATATAACCAACCACATGTTATTTACAATCAAAAAGTTCATGACCTAAATATCAAAATTTTTCAATGATTGTTTGTTTATTATTATAATAACATTCTATCTTTTTCAATTTTAGTAACATCAGCATATTCACCACCGGCTTTTTCACGTGCTTCATTCACTTTCATTGTGATTTGTTTAATTTCTAATAGACGTAATAAATTTGTCCATAAATTAACTTGTTGTAAGCCAACTTTTTCATTTTCTAATAAACGTTTCTGTTCTTGTTTTAATGTTTTTGTTAATGCTTCTTGTTCAGCTATTTTACGTGTATAAATATCACTAATTGTAGATAATACAAAAAACAAAACAAAAGCAAGATAAAATCATAGTGAACAAAACAGTATGTTATTGAAAATTATTCAAATGTATATATCAATATTCTTATATGAAACTCTTTTCATACTACTGGTTTTTTGAAGTGTTATCGTTAGATCTATGTATGAATCTTTGTTTCAGGATGCAGTTTTCCCCACTCGAAATGCAAAATGTTGATTCAGGATTGGATTGCGACTTCACTGGAACTAGTGGTAGGGAATGAAGTAGTCGAATGTGTAGACCGATCCACGTATCTGGGGAGTCTCATCAGTGCTGATGGCTTGGTGATTGATGAAATCTCAGCACGGATACAGAAGGTTCGATTGGTTTTTGCCAATCTGCGTCACTTATGGCGTAGGCGAGATATCCGTTTGCTGACTAAAACGCAAGTGTACTGCGCAGCAGTTCGTTCCATTCTCTTATATGGCTGCGAAACATGGCCGTTAAGAGTAGAAGATATTCTTAGGTTACTCGTATTCGATCATAGATGTCTGGGAAGCATTGCTCGAGTATCGTGGGACAACTGAGTGAGCAACGCTGTTATTAGGAAACGGGTGCTAGGTAAGGATGACAGATCAGTAGATGAAGTATTGAAACTTCATCAGTTGAAGTGGTTGGGACATGTGTTACGAATGCTCAATCACCGACTGCATCGACGAGCTTTGTTTTATGTTGTAGGATTAGGTTGGAAGAACGCTGGGGACGGCCAGACCAAAACATGGCACAAATCCATGAAGTCGGTGACAAGTAGACTGAGTCATGTTTGTAGATGTAGACTACCTGGTTGGGGTCCGCGAGACGAAAGTCATCAATGGTTAGAGACCTTGAACGACATGGCCCAAAATCGTTTGCAATGGTGCAGGTGCATCCACTCTTTGTGTGCTTTTTAATTCTAACCTTCTGAATTCCTCAAAATCTCGCATCAGCGGTGCGTGCCCATGACTCCTGCCCCTCTCAGGATTCGAACCCAGGACCTTCGGTCTTGCGCGTAAACGCTTATCCTCTGGACCACTAAGCCGGGATCTAATGATGCTGATGTATAACTCCGATCGACTCACGGTCTTGCACAATCTAATACACTGTATTCGGTGAGCACTGCTTCACACCCGAACAGAGTTGAACTTCAATGGTCATAACTTCTTATCAGAACTCTAAGAAGATTCCTCACGGAGATAGTCACTAGTGAACCAGGTTCTGTGGCTCATATGTTAGGCGTTCGGGCGCAAAACAGAAGGTCTTAGGTTTGAATCGTGCAAGGTGCAGGGGTCATGGATTCGTACTGTTGATGTGTCCCATACCAGGACAAAACGGCCGTCTAGTGCTTCCAGATTTCTAATGAGGAGTTACTGTAATATTTAAAACACTTAACATAGAATATAATTAATTGCAATTGTTATTTAGGGCTAAAGATTATCATTCACTAATTCTTGACTGATATATATTTATATGAACACTAAAAAGTATGATTATTTTCAGATGATCATTTGTACACTGATTTGACAAATCACATTACTATACTACATTGATTAAGTAAGAACTATCGTCAGTGAACTTAGTCATTCAGTCAAGGATTTGATTTCGACCAATTTGATCTCTCGTGCTGTTACGGGTATGAGGGCGGTTGTCACTTCCCGGTTGTCCACACTGTGGAAGGTTATTTCTTGAGGAACCTGAAATTCGAAGGTAGATTAGCGTTGGTCTTGGAGACCTGGGAGCGTGACCGCAGAGTCCAAGGAGTAACTGCTTGACGCCGGTCACGCACGACCTCTTCATGTAGGGGTTTTTGAGTATTAGCTCCGCTCATAAAGCCCTTAGTGGGCACCCTTACCCAAGGAGACGGAAATCCGTGAGGTAGGGTGAGGTGTGACATTTTTACGGTCGACCATTTCTAACCTTTCCTTCCTTGTGAGAAGGCAGCATCGCTGCAGATGCTGGTTGTCTGAGGGAAACACCTTACTGCTGTCACACCCCTCTGCAGTCAGTCAGCAGTACGACTTCGCCCTCAGACCTTGGGTAGCTGCTTTTAGTCGACATGCCTGGCATGGTAGGACCTACAGGAACATATGTTCCAGCCAATATAGCTCGGTTGGGTCATCACGATAGGCAAGCCCGACCACCACCACGTCAAGGTAGCAGCTACGGTCGGGATAAGTGAACTTAAAGAATATAGAATTTTCAATATTACCTAAAACTGATCGAATTACGTAGAGAGAGGAGATTGGTAACAATTCTAACAAAAGTTGTAAAAAAACAAACAAACAAACGCTACTTACCGATAACTTTTTCTTTTCTCTACTGTTTCATTTGTACTATCATCTTTATTGGATGATGATGATGATGATATAGAAACATGCGCAGTACCAGAGACATAACCACGCATTTCATCATTTAAACGATTTTGTTGAATATGTAATAATGTTAAATTAGCCGTTAAATAATGAAATTTGGATTCTTCCATTTTTTCTGCTTCACGTATTGTACGTACTTCTTGTTCTAAACGAATTGATTGTGATTCTTGACCAGCTGTAATTGCATCATAAGCGGATTTTTTCTCTAAATGTATTTGACTACGTTCCTATAGGCATTTATTAAATAAATATTATATATATTAATTAGATGATAGTCAGTGTTATAAGATTGGAGGAATGCTGATCAGTGAGTGACCTATGCACCTGTGTTAGGTGTAATAGGTATAAGTAAGTAAGTAAGTCATAATAATGATATTGTGTTGTTACATTTATATTCTGGGTCAACAAGCAGATCCGCAGCACATTCATGTATATTGATCTTGTACAACATAACAGTTCGAACGGATGTTAATACACTTGAACTCTACCGCCTGAGTCTATGTACACGTTGTCTAGTTTCTCTAACAGGTCTGTTAGACATCTGGTCAGTCATTTATTATATTCAATAATATTCAATATATATATATATATATATGTTACGAATGCCTAACCACTGAATGTCTGGTCGAGCTATGTTTTGGGATTTAGGAATAGGTTGGAAGAAATCTATGGGCTGCCGGACCAAAACATGGCAGAAATCCATGAAGTCATTGAAAAATGGAGTGAGCCAAGCTGGTAGGTGTCGACTATCTGGTTGGAGCCGGCGAGATGATTGTAATCGACGGTTAGAAACCTAGAATGTCATGGCTCAAAACCGCTTGCAATGGCGCAAGTGCATTCATTCTTTGTGTTCCCTCAAATCCTAACATTCAGGGTTCCTCATCACCTTTATCCTTTTTAAGTTAATTTCAGTAGATTATACTTCTTGGGTAATATCTTTCCGATTACAGCTAATACTTCTACTACCTCTACTACAATGTGATTTGAATTGACAATTGCATCTCTGTAGTATGACAACTTGAACTGATGTACGTACGTATGAAGTTCTACGTTGCTGTTGATTGATTGATTGATTGATCTAATAGCTAAATAATAGTAGAAGTCGACTGTTGTCCATCGATCAATAACTTAGATCTTATTTGATCATGTATGAAATGAATTTTGTGTTTTGGAGAAAGACCTCTTAGAAGACAATTCTATATGAAATTAAGAATAAGCTTGATTACTTTTTTTTTAATCCCACACAAATACTTGAATATTGAATATAGTGAATGCATCATAAATGCTTTCATATAATTAGTATGTCAACTTGTCTAACAATTCAGATATATAAATGCTTTTATTATTTAGTCTCATTACAGTGTAGTGAAGGAGAACACAGGTGGGGCGACCGAATTATACTTTACGAAAATTACAGAGTTACTCAGTAAAATAGGAAAACCATATCGTAAACGGTTAATTTGCAAATCTTCAATCAATCATCAATCCATTGTCTGACATTTCACTCACTATTCATGCGTTTCATACAAATTCCATTGTGTTCCCACTCTTCCTTTCTTGATCTTCCCCCAACTTCTGCTGCCAGACATTAAGTTGACACTCATGTCATATACTACTTATAAGTAGCTCGCACCACAACAGTACTACATATATTTACTGGTAGATGTAAAATAATACTGACAAGACAATCATACTGTTCGCTTATTACATAGAAAATGATTTGGTTATGTACTGGACTTTGAGAGAGAATCTAATATTTATTAGGTGTAATCATTTTGTTTCTTGTACCACCTACTAACTGATAATTCATTTTATTCATGTATTCAGTAAAATTTGGAATTCTTACATCAATTACAAGAAGCAACTAAATACAGGCGAAACAGTTTTAAAAAATTAATTATGTAAATTCATAACAGAAATTAAAGTTAAAAAAATAAGTAAATAGTGGGTGATTCTGATTGTTGCAAGCTTAGGATTTTGCAAATGTAAAATACGATTATTAGATAGTGAACATCAATCAGATCGTTAGAATCGTCTAACAGCACTTGAACTAATGGTCAGTAACAATGTAGACTGATGTTGTTTTGTCGCAACCCTAGACACTTAGCCTTGTTTCGACTAATTCCAATATTGGACAGTACAATACTTCAACGTAATGTGTGAATGATCATGTGTATTATGTCAACTTAATCAACGATTATTTGTTACTTCGTCAACTGATTCTTCATTTCCGTGTGATATTCTACAGTTAGTTTGAATAATATGATTTATTGACTAGTTTTACAGTTAAGTGAGTGATGTTTTGTAGATGCACATAGTTGAGAATGAAGTCATGTGCTTCAAAGTCAATCTTTATCACTTATATAAAGTACAATGAAGCCTAAGTCTACGATGTGCACTTTTTTTCCGAATCAAGCTGTTCAAAAAGTGATGTTACATCAAAGTATTAAACATTTTCGTCTTTCTTAATTTTTTTTTAATGATTCTGAAATCCTTTATTTCACCTTCAAAAGGATTCTATGTTTCATGTTTAAAATGCTGTAATTGTGTCAGTCAATACTGATTATTTATATCAACGTTACAGAAAATTCCATAAAGACACATTACTATTAATATTTAAAGAAATACGACAGAAATGTTAGATGATTGGAAGCTGCTTAGAAGAAGTATTAACTGGTAATTGTCAATAAGGAATATTGATAATTTTGAAAAAGAAACTAATGAGTCTGGTGGGATTTGAACTTGCGTCATCGCTTGTTACATTCAACGTATTACAAACGTGGAGAAATTAGAAAACTTTACTAGTATCTGAAGTTTGCGCTGATGATTTTGTTCAGAAGAACAATGAAAGCTTCACAATCAAAACAACCAGTTCAGAGAACGAAACACTACTACAATCATCCACCTGAGCTACAAATTTTCTCCACCATCTCACAAACGATCTATCTGATCAGCATTAAACATGTAAGAATGGGATATTTAGGCAAATTAATTACTACTTAGTGGCCAATATCTTTTTATGTAGCCCTTTATATTGGTTAATTCTTATCACACTTGTAATAATGTTGACAACTAGTCGAACTGACTGTACATCATATTACAATTTGTTTTAAGCTAGATGGTTAAAAGAAATCCAGAAGGTATACCAGAAATAGGTTTCATGTTAGTTGACTACATAAAATATATTTACCTTAAGTAGGAAGCAGTTCGTTCATGAAACCGAATAATCTCTTCTAACATGTTACTCTAATATATTAATTGTTTTTGTTGATTTAAAAAAAATCTTAAATATTTGAAGAATGTATTTGTGCGAATCTCTAAGATATTCAACCACTGACTGCTTCGACGAGCCGATGTTTTGTGATATAGTGGTAGGATGAAAGAAAGCCATGCACGGCCAAACCACAAACATGGCACAAATCCTTCAAGCCACTGAGTCATGTTAATAGGTGTAGACTAAAACTGATTGTGGTCCATGAGACAATATTAACCGATCATCACATTCATACTTCTCTTCTAAAAATTTATTTCATTGGATTATACTTCGTGAATAATATCATCGAACCCTAATCTCCCCGATTACTGTCAATATTTCTATCACTATTGGATTTGATTGAATAGACAATTGCATCTCTGTGCCAATCGCAGGTACTATGATGCACTTGAACTGATGTATGTACATACACACAGTTAGTTCTACGTTGTAACTGACTGACTGACTAACATATTCGAATAGATTAAGTGTAATATGTTGAATCATTTTTGAAAACAAAAAAAAAACATTCATTCCAATGTTTATTTTTGAAAACAGACACATTGGGTTATAGATTGATTATTTCAAAAAATTAAGAATAATAATAAGACTTTATTTCTTGACATGATGAAAAATTATATTTTTAGTCATGTTGTAACATGCACTTAAAATCGCCACGTTTTATAAAAAAGTTCATACAACAATTAATATATATATATATATATATTTTCTGAGGCCAATTATTTAATATGTGAACTTATATTAACTTAAAAAAAACAAACAATAGTACTTAAGAATCGATAAGATAGATGAGATTCCCTGTAAAAAATGAAATCAATTCAACCTTGAATTGTAAGAGAATAATATTAATTAAATAATTGTATTATAAATTCTGAGAAACTTATAACCTATTAGGATTTATTGATTTCTTGTACTTGTTTTTATTTTGGAGATTGAAGTCTAGAACATATTGTCGATTAATAAATATTAATTTGTAATTCACATTTGAAATCATCAATGAATCATTGTTGCTAGACCATCATTAGAAACCTGGAAGCACTGAAACACGGCCGTTTCGTCCTCGTATGGGATTCATCAGTGACAGTGCGCATCCACGACTCCTGCACCTCGCAGGATTCGAACACAGTGGGACCTTCGGTATTGTGCGCGATCGCCTAACCTCTGGACCACTGGGCTGGCATCTAAAGGTGTTAATGTCTAACTTTGATTGATCTAGGGATTTTGCACGACCTCACCCATTAGTTTTTGGTAGTTATTGCTTACACCCGATAGGGTTGAACTAACAATGATTGATTGATGATTTCAAATGTGTAAAAACACAAACCTACAAAACTCTACCCCAAAATTTGTAATTTGGTTACTTTGTTTAATACAATCGATCTCTTTAAAAAACCGATGGATTGGTGTTACAGTTTTAGATTGACTTATTGGGAAGAAGAAATAAGACCGAGAGCTATAAGCTTGATTAAAACGATGTTTATGAATTCTTTGTTGCCGTGATGATAAATATTCTTTCATTACAGCATAAGATTTTGTTCAACTGTTTCTTTCAATGAACACTACATCATTACGTTTTCTTTTGGAATTTCGACTGTTTTTTTTTCTGGTTAACGCACCTACAATTGAAGAGATCGGTATGGCCATCAGACAAATCAAGAGCGGCAAAGTAGCAGCACCAGACAACATTCCAGCAGAGGCAATGAAAGCAACTACAAAATATATTTCACATTCTCTTCAACAAGAATTGGGGTGAGGAACAAGTACCATCAGATTGGAAAGAGGGATACCTGATCAAAATACCAAAGAAAGGCGATCTCAGCACGTGTGAGTACTACAGAGGCATCACTATTCTCTCAATACCAGGCAAAGCTTTCAACAGGGTATTGTTAAACAGAATGAAAGGCTTCGTACACGCCCAACTTCCAAATCAACAGGCTGGATTTCGTAAGGATCGATCGTGTGAAGACCAAATTGCAACATTACGGATCATTGTGGAACAATCAATTGAATGGAACTCACCACTCTACATCAACTTCATTAACTACGAGAAAGCATTTAATAGCATGGACAGGAAAACACTATCATCAGCATCCATGGTCCTAGGTCTGAACCCTGTGATTAACAAGAGTTGTGAATGTACTTTGTTAGTTAGTCTCGTACCGGGACGAAACGGCCTTCCAGTGCTTCCAGGTTTCCAATGGTGGTCATACGATGATTAAATCACGATTCTCCATAATTCAATAATCAGAAAAAAACTTTCAGTCTTTGTTTTTACTTTCTTAAAGATGGATAAAGGGAACTACTATGTATTTGAAACATACACATTTCTTGGTGAAATATCTCTAAATATATTTCTTACAATGTACATTTTAGTACTATTCTTTCAAATCGTTCAAAAAATTATCGATTACCAATGATGATATGATAGTGTTTATCACAAATCGACATCAGTGATATCACTATTCAAAATCAGAAAGTAGCAAATACTTAACATTTTCCAGTAATAAACTTTTAATAAATGTAGACACATGAACCAACGAAGGCTCGAATCTATTGTGGTGCGCGCTACTTATAATTAGTATATGACGCGAGTGAAAACGTAATGTCTGGCAGCAGAAGATGAGGGAAGATCAAGAAAGGAAAAGTGGGAACACAATGGAATTTGTATGAAACGCATGAATAGTGAGTGAAATGTCAGACAATCGATTGATGATGGATTGAAGATTTGCAAATTAACCGTTTACAGTATGATTTTCCTATTTTACTGAGTAACTCTGTAATTCTCGTTAAATACAATTCGGTAGCCCTCACCTGAGTTCTGCTTCACTACACTATGACTGTCAGGCACAGTGAAGAGTATGTTGGATTTAAATCAATGAGTTAGTAATCAGCTGATTATAATTTTTGACTGTTGTTAATTCAAAAGGAATACCACTGTTAAAATCTAGCAAACCTTGAAAAAACATCTCAGTTAAAATGATACAAATTACCTGAGCTTTTTGTCTTAAATGTCGTAATTCTCGAATGGTCGGAGCTAGTTGTGTACGTTTAGTATTGATTCTATTGCTTAATTGTTGAATAATCTTTGACATCTCTTCTGGTGTAACAGCTTTCTCTTCATTATTGAACATAGACATTTGTTCAGAAACCTTGTATGAAAATAAAATAAACAAGTAAACAAAGAAAAGATCAGAGAAAGAAAATTAATAATGATAAAGTTTTTCTCACCAATGAAAGAAATAATCGATGATTGTGTTTTTCTCAGTGAGAATGTAGAGTGAAGCATGATAAACTTGTAAGTTATTGCTCAGTTCAATTATCACCTTTAGAAACAAAGTATCATGTAAAACATTTTTTAAAAATTAATTTACTTCCAGTTGAAAACTTGAAATCTAATCCAAAGTTTATACGATATTTTTGAAAAAACCGAGTGTGAAAGAAAATGTTGGTGTCTGTATTAATATGTTGAGTCCACGTGGCTTGTACCAGCTTTCAAACAAATTAACTGCCCTTTTCTGCCGGTGTCATGATTCACTTACCTATCGACCTTGTCAATTTGTGTGGTGTGCTGAAAATGAACGTATTCAACACTTTGTATTTGCCTTCTGATTTATAACCGTTAGGCGATATTTGATGACGATTGCCTATCACTACATAATTTAGTGATACATTGCACACTACATAAATGGTGAACCCGCTGTCGAATCTAACGCACTCAACTACAAATTATTCACTCATATCCTTGGATGTTTTTATTTGAGTATGTTTGTTTGTGTGCACATTCTTACTTAGTTTACTTACTACCTGTCTGCCTTATTATTACCCAACTATAATTACTTAGACATGCTTGATCACCTTGGATTGGCTCGCTCGCCTTCTCCATTTCGCTTTGCTTTACTTGTACGCTTTTCATTCTCATGTCTATCTGCTTAAATAAATGTAGGAAATGAATTCATCGGCAAGACTGTATTGGACTGTTATTCACCCCAGTTGCACAAACGGGGTTCTCTTAAGTATGATCTACGGAAATCCAACGGGAGATTTATTTCACAGCATATCTAGTCGTTCGTCCAAACTGGAGTCAGATCATGAGTTCCTAAAAAATACTTTAGTACCACAGTACAAGAGAGTGATCGTTGATTTACATGAAGTGTAAATAATGATATCAAATTACTAATGACATTTCACTTGTTCTCTATTCTTATGTTTGATGCTGAGAAATGGTGTGGATTAGAAAAATCAAACCGTACAGTATTTTTTTTTCGCAACCTACCATACTGGTTATATAAGTGAGATGATGGATTCTAATCATGTTTATCTGTTCTTTAAGGGAAAAAGGAAATCGAAAACCACTCAAGTAAAAAGCTTTTCTGTCAAGTTTAAACTGGGGAATTCGAGGCAGAAAAATTGATTGATCATAAATATATGAATAGTTTATGTATGATGCGCCTAATTACTGATATATTTGTAAGAATCTATCTATGACTTCTCGTTCTCATGTTTTTCATTAGTTCCTGATGAGCTGATACTAGTTTGTGACGAAAACTGTTTTTTATAAAATCGTCCGTTTAGAAAGCTTTAAACGCTGTACTTCTCTAGTTGTAGAGCAGTTAACATAATTACCATCCTTAAACAAAAGAACAGTCAGACTGGATAGCAGTTGTTTCTTTGTTAATTTAAAGCTTGAAGTACATATTTTGAAAGTAAAAGGCATATACTGTTTTTATCATTAGACTAGAAGTACTGATCGCGTATGATGAATTCACTAAGAGAGTAGGTAAAATAGATAATAGCATTCTATGAAGTAGCTGTCTAATAGTCCGAATTGTGTTGGAATCTGAAGATGCTCTGTTTGTTTACGCAAAAAATCGTTATCTATAAAAAGTTAGAAGCCCTTAATGGCAAACTGAACAATCAGATGTAAGGAAGCGTGTAGACTTATTCTCAATTCTTCTTATAAAGTTAAAGCTTTGATGTAGTCAAATACTGTCGAGCAATTTTGTAGCTAAGGTGGATGATTTCGGTGGGTTTCATTCTCTGAGGTGTAAGGTGTTTTGATTGTGAAGCTTTCATTGTTCTTCTGCTGAACAATATCATCAGCACAAACTTCAGATAGCAGAAGTGAAGTAATCGAATTTCTCCAGGTTTGACTCGTAACTTGTTCTTTTAGCCTCGATCTTGATTGTTGACCTTAAATCTGTCGTTGTTTGCACAAAGGCGTTCAGAAGAAGAACAATGAAATCTTCACAACTAAAACATCCAGATCAGAGAATGAAACACCAGCACGTAATAATCTTTCGGCTTTAATCAATATGGTTTGAATTATTTTTTCTGGTTAGCGTTTTTTAGGCAAGTTAGTTTTTGACGGAATGGGGTCGCCAACCCCATGTCCAACCCTCCTCCTTTACCCGGGCTTGGGACCGGCAGTAGCCCCAAAGGTTCTACTGGCGGAGTTTTAATCAATATGCTAAAACTAAATTTCGTACGTTTCTTAGTTCTTCACTGTAATTTTTATTGTTATTTGAGTAATTTCTTATTGGTATTTTTAAATTTTTCTCTTTATCATCATTGATAATGTGAATTAGGGAAACTTTGGGTGGTTGTCTTATTTTTACTGAGTTGTATGCTGTGCATGAAGACTCGATTTTATCAGCTTATAAGTAAGAAATAGTGTAATAATGCGAATGGAGGTTTATTACTTCAATTTAGTACAAGTCTATGCTTATAGATATATAAAAACAATAAAAATGAAAGTGTATGGCATAATTGGATTGGTGAAAATGATGAATACTCGTGTCTAAGATAGATAATTTATGATTCATGTGGTCTTCCATCAATCATTTTAAGTAACACCATAAGATTGCTTCAGTCTGTTGGGGATGTTAGATCCCCACGAACTCGCTTGTTAAATGCCTTATTTTGGATTTCATGTTTCCGAGCATAGACTGAACAGTTGACCTTGAGATCATATTACCCTCCAGGAAAATCCATGGCTGTGATTAGCTGCTGTGTATTTTTGTGTGCTATTTTCACAACTGTCCCAAGGACGTTTCTATGATGTTTAAATAAACGAGAGTTGTATGCTTGATTATACTATGATTGCTGGGTGTTGGTAGAATATACTTTCTACGCTTACAAAGCCTTCTTACTTTACTTGGGGATTCAAGGTAGCCTACCTGGACTCTGGTAAAAGTCTCGTTCGCGTTTATCGACTAAGGTAAACTCGTAATAGCCTCAAGCATACTTAGTGACGAACCCAATACACTCATTGATCTCATCTTCATGTGCCTTAATCCTGCCTCAGTTAACATCTAATATAAATGAGAAGATCGTTTCTTAATTGTCTTTATTCTTAAGGACCATGTCTGAAACACATTAGTATCAGCAACAGGAGAATGTTTATATACCAAACTACCTAATAAGAAATCAAATACTTAACCAATGATGAACATGACATTATCAAGGATGAATCTATATGGAAAGTCAAATAGATGATGGTAGAACAATTCAACTAGTAAACCGAAACATTTATCTTATGTATTCTGGTTAGATTGGTGTATTATTACGTAAGAATAGAAAACTGATTTGAATTTAGTTAAATCAATAATCCATTTCATCAATAAATACATATTATGACTGAAGTGTTGGTATCATGCAATGGTATAATCAATGAAAGCGTGATCATGTTTACGTAGATTGGAGTACTACAATAATAAAAATAATAATAATAATAAAATTTATGAAACACTAGCAATTAGTAAATGATTACGTCAATCTATTTTGGTTTTTAAAATAAAATAGAATAGATTGGTTTTTCCATTGGTTAACATTCATTGAATTGGTCAAAAGGTAGATTTAATCCGGTATTCCCTGTGGTTGATTAAGTCAATACATAAATATACAGTAGTTAGAAGTAGTTGGTAAGATAGCTTGCTTGGACTTAGGGTTTTATGTTAGTTGTCAGTAAATTATATACCTACAATCATATATGAACTGATTCTCTGTAGGATTCAAACACAAATCATCCAAAATGATAGGTAGCCATTAAAGAATAAAGGAACATAACTATTGATTACTGCTCAGCGAAAGATTGATGCAAAATGCACAAATATTTGTTATCAATATACATTATTAAGAAGTATACATTTTCATAACAGTTGAAGGTCGCCAGATCAAGTTGAATTATTGATTTATATGGTTAGAATGGAATTTTCAATACAGGATGAATTTATCACGACAAAGATTGGGAGCACTGGACAACTACTATGCTCCTGGGATCCTATAGGTGATTGAACCCATGACTTTAATATCATATAGTTAGCTTCTGATAATGCAGTGACATTAGATAGTTACTTTACGATACAGTCAGTCAGTCAGTTAGTCAACAACACAGAATTTCGTACGTACATATATCAGTTCAAGTTGCCATATCACAATAGTACAGAGATGCAATTGTCAATTAAAATCCAAGAGTAGTAGAGATAGCAGAAGTATTAGCAGTAAACAGAGGGATTATGGTTCTGCGATATTATCCAAGAAGTGTGACCATCATTCATTAGTATCCAGTGATGACCCGGTGATGGTTTATGACTGAGGCTTCTAAAATTTCCTTGTATTTAGTACAAGATGATCATTTAAGATGAGAATTTTATGGGCAAATCAACTGTTCTACTTTTCATCGTTTTCAAGGGTTATCTAGCTAGCATCAGTCCGTAATATTAACTAGACAAGTGAGATAGTTATAGTATTTGGTCTATCCATAGTAATCAACATCATACTATCGCTAATATCTCATTTTTATCTGTCTCTCTGTTTATATAATTCTGACATTAAAAATGAATGATATAGACTTTGAAATGATTGCTTTTTCTTTTAAAAATACTTATAAATACTTATAAATAATGCCTTTGTTTATTTTCACTGTGAAATTTTTCAAAAAAGCCTGTACTATTTTGTGTCAACATTAGAATGCTACAATCATGATTCGTAATTTTAAGTTCCTGAGGATGGTGTTAGACGACACCTTGTACTTAGGAAAAAGTCAATTGAAATGGTGCAGAACAAGTAAGTAATCAAGTTGAAGTAATATTTCATTTCAGTGAATTATTAGTTTAATGATTAAAGTATCTAACTTTTCATCATTTGAACA